ATGTGGGGGAGTGCGTGCTGGTAGTGGTGATAGGGAAGCGTTAGTATGTTTCACTGCGAAAGGTTACAGATCGCTGATATATCGCAGATATGGGTGGTCTTGTTAGCAAGAGAGTCGATCCTAGCTTGGCAACATGATAGATCATTCAGGTATGTGTGTAGTAGGTGTGTGTAAACACGACCACCCCGTATATACGAGAAACAAGAACATCGCATCTGCCATATCGCGACAGGTTAGCAATAGTTTAAACATAGTGGGTGTTTTAACCATCAACTCATCTGTAAGGATGCAAAAGGGGTTTGTGATTTAACTTATGGGGGAACATTTTAGTAATTAGAGTTAATAATTAAGGTTAGCAACGACTGTTGAGGACAATCATAGGGGGGGTGCACGCCCTGAAGCGCGCTTTTCACCGTTTAGCACCCATAGTAGCTCGTCAGAGGGATGTAGTTCCACATTAGTTTGTACGTCAGGAGGTAAGGGAAGAAGGGGCTTAGGGAAGGTTAGGGGTATGTTCGAGTGAACCTATACATGTGAGCGGAATGGCTGTGAAGACGACATCTCTTCAACGGACGTCATTCTCCCTCTGTGTATTAGGTCGCTCGTAGAACTGAATGGAGCACAGTGATGGCAGGAGGGGATTAGAAAGTGTGTTAGCGATGGCGTTGTAGGTCTTCAAGCATTAGGTCACTCGTGCTTGCTCTACACGCGAACGTAGGTGAGGGGAATGAGGTGGGACCATTGCAGATCGCGTTCTCCGTGGTTGTAGGAGTGCGCAACAAGTAATTTCGGGCAAATCCGGTAGCGCCCGTCGGGCTGCGGTAGATGGCAATGCAAGCTAGCACTATTGTATATAGTTGCGTGTGGATCTAACTTGGAAGTAAGGAAATGGAAGAGGTAGTAAGCAAGGCGTATTTTTGGTATGTTTATGGGAGGGGTTTGATTTAATATGATTTTGGAGGAGAGGGGGTTCTGTCATTTTAGGTTAAGAAGAGAAAATAACGTGTTTGGTTATGACTTCTGTAGTCGAGTGGTCCGTACGAATGTATGAGTTACGGTGGGCATAACAGAGTCCTATGCATAGTTCAAGAAATAGGTAGTAATAAAAGCGATTGTATTCTAATTAGTCGTTTTATTCGCTTTGTAGTGCTTATGTTATGACGCATTTTTCGTGATATATTTGTCTCGATTCTACGTGCTAATCTCATTGGAAGTGTATCACGAGTTTTTGTTTTTCTGAAACCTTCTCTGCAGGGTGTACCTGGAAAAGTCTCGTCGTTTGAGTATGTAAGTCTGTCACCATGTGCATATCTTCGTTTTTTTGCGGTGTGCTTATGCATTACTGAGAGTGAGCGCAGTCTAATTAGTTGTTTTATAGTGGGTTTATACTGCTTGTGCTTAGGCGTTTTTTTCGTGATGTGGCTTGTTCTTATCTTTCGTGTCATTCTACTTAGAGGTGTATCACAAATTTTTGTTTTTCTGAAATTTTATGCAGGGTGTCCCTACTAAAAAGTATTGTAGTTTGTGTATCTTAGTATGTTGTTCTATGTTTTTTTTCGTTTTTTTTTTCTATTCCTCGTTTTTTTGTTTTTTGTTTTTTTCAGTTTTTTCGTTTTTTTCGCGGTATTCCTTACGCAGTGAGCTAACTTTTTGGTTTTTTATATTTATGCACGTAAGTGTGTCTGTATATGAGTCCCATAATTTTTATTTTCTAAGAGTTAGTGTATAAGTATCGTTTTTTATTTTTGGTTTTTTATATTTATGCACGTAACTGTGTCTGTATATGAGTCCCATAATTTTATATCGTTTTTATTTTGTAAGAGTTTCTGAGGAGCCATTGGCTAAGGATATCATCATTCTGGCGAGCATGATTTTAGGATAGGCTTATTCAATTTGTGAAGGGAAGATGACCAACTTGTAAAAGGAATTAAATCTTTATCCATTTAATTTAAGTTACATAATTTTTATATTTTGTGTAAAGTTAGTATATATAACTGTAGCAGTTCTTAAGTTGAGTTTCTAAGTCATAATCGGCTAAGGATATCATCATTCTGACGAGCATAATAATTGGCTTATTCTTTTTGTGAAGGGAAGATGATAATTAAAAAAAAAAAAAAAAAATTTGTATTTTGTATTTTTTTTATTTTGATAAATTATTTAATCAATTATTAGCTTTATTTACTCATTATTTTATTACTTTAAAATTTTTATATTTTTTTATAATTTTTTATAATTTTTAATTATTATTTATTTTAATTTATAATTTTAATCATTATAATAATTAATTATTATTACTTATTAATTTTATTTAATTATTAATATTATTAATAAAAAATGTGCTTGTGTATGTGTGTGTGTGTCGGGGGAAGGCTTCGAAGGACCTCCCCCACTAATCAATCAATCAATCAATAAAAAACTAATCAAGTAATCAATATTTATTTTTTTTCCTATTTTTTTATTTTTTTCACACACAAAAAATATCTCCTTCAAAAATTACTTTTTTTAACTTTTTTTTTTTAAGGGGGTAGGGTCAGGGGCTCGGAACCCCAGTCCGCAACCTCGACCCTTAACCCCCTCTCCCCTCGGCCGCTGTGGGTCGCGGCAGTCCGAGGTCGCCACGGTCATGACTGCGGCCCTGCGGCTTTGACCGTGGCCGCCGGACAGTCGTAGGCGTCAGGGCTGCACGATTGACGACAACGACGGGTTTTGACAGGCTGCAGCTAAAAGTGTCGTTGAATATTAATTCAATGACGTTCAACGAGTTCGAAAGTAATTCAACGCGCTTCAATGGCGTTGAACGCGATTGGACGTGGACGTTCCACGACCATTTGTCGGTGTGGGGCGATGTACGACGGTGTTGTGGTGGGTCTGTGAGGGGGGGGAGGGGGTGTCTGGCAGGCTCAGGGGGGGGTCCGGGTTGTGAGGCGTCCTCAAATTAGAGGGGTTGGGAGGCCTCGTAGAGAGGGCTCCGGGTCGACGCTTCGGACTGGGAGAGAGGACAATCGCCATGGGGAGGGCATAACAGCGCCAACATGATACCACTCTAGAAGATGTGCAGGAGCCATTCAAGGGTCGCTCCCCTGTGTATCAGGACCTTGTCGTCGGCCACAAGGTCGACAACAAGAGGGTGATGATGTTGCGTTGCACATTTTGCAACAAAGTGTTATAGGGGACTCAGTACTAGGCCACGGGACATTTCGTACAGACTAACTACTGCACGGACGTCAGAGACGATGCATTGTACGAGATTGCAAGATGGACTCAACAGAAGTTCGAGTCTGATCAGATGGAGAGGGTTGGCAGGTACGCAGTGGAGCGTGGACTTGATATGCCCCTGGCCAATGGTGCAAGGGGAGGAGAGGCGGGGCAGCGTTCGGTGGAGCGAGGGGGCGGGGGAAATGCTAGGCATTGTGCGTCCGACCGCCCATTGGGGGGTGGAGGCGGTGACACGGAGGGGGACGTCATCCACATCGATCGTGAGGCATGTGGCTCGGGCGAGGAGGTATTCCCGGGACACAAGGACGTGCCGGACTTCCATCGAGCCACTGGGGAGAGGATGGTGGACTGGCTGCGGTGAGCAGGTAAGGGCTGCGGCGAGCAGGTAAGGATCGCAAGGGACGTGGCTGCGGCGAGCAGGTAAGGGACGCGGCGAGCAGGTAAGGGCTGCGGCGAGCAGGTAAGGATCGCGAGGCATGTGGCTCGGGCGAGGAGGTATTCCCGGAACACAAGGACGTGCCGGACTTTCATCTAGCCACTGGGAAGAGGATGGTGGACTGGTGCCTGCAACGGAGGGTCTGAGGGAGGAGGTTCCTTCAAAGAGGAAGGAAGGAGGAGCTGAGCCCGCTGCCACCCAAGCTGGAAAGAGGCTTCGCCAACAGAAGGTGACTAAGGTCTACGGTGGCGAGTGGGTTGCGCGCCACTAGATGACCATCCTTTGTTGACTTTATTCAAGCCGGGTCTCCTTCACGCCTGGCAGTTTGTCGCGCGGTGTGCTCCTTAGCCATAGTGTGATTGCGAACATGTAGGCGGTGGAGACCCAACGTGCGTAGTTGGCGGAGGAATTGGAGGAGGTGAGACCGCCATTTTGGGTAACTAGTGTCGCCATTTTTTCATATGGGAGAAAATCACGAGACGGGAGACCGATTGTAATTTTTCTTGCCGCAGACTCGTGAGCGGTTGTCATGTAGATGACGATCAACTGAGAGGGGGAGCAGGACGATGCGGAGCACGTCCTTCAGAGATGGGTCACCATCTTCCACGAGTTCAGGTTCGGTGGGCCGCAGCGGGTCAATTCGATTTGCACTAACTCCGGTTCAGCGTACGTGGGGGCTGCAAGAGCGATGGCCCCGCCGACGATGCCTCTTGCATTGAGGATGATCAATTGGCTCCCATGCTCCGTCCATGTCTGCAACAAATTGTCGTTAGACATGGGGACGAGTTGCAACGCGTTTAAGAGTGTGATCATACATGCTTATGTGCTGGTGGTGTTTTTCAAAACCCACCAGGCCGCCCTTCATTTTTTTAGGAAGCGTAACCCAAACAAAGGGCTTGTTCTTTCCTGCGAGACGCGGTTTGCGTATGTTTACTCCATGCAGGAGAGTCTGCTGGCTCTGCAAGACATTTTTCAGGACATTTTGCAGGACATGATGTGAGGGACGACTCGTGGGCTTTTGCTTCTATCAAGTGGTCTGCCAATGTGTGCTATATGGCACGTTGGGTGTGCCGACAGATCAGAAGGGTGGCCACCATCGTTCATATCAAGGAGCACGTCATGCAACTGCTTAGGCAGATGGATCGTGGAGGGCAATTCATGTCGCTCATGGTCGAGTGGGCACATGATCTTATCCACGGTGTGAAGGACGCATGCGCTCGTTTGGGCCAGTCCTTCGCAGACCTGATCATGAGGCGTATGCGGACCCGCACACAACACATGCTTGAGTATGCTCACTACACAAGGTTCTTAGTGAAGTCTCGCAGGTGACATGTTCAATACTTTTCAGGCGAGGTGGAGGGTTACCATGCTTGGCTTGTGAGGCAAGCCAAGAGGTACATTCTGACGCATACGGGTTTCGAGTTAGACGACACGAATTACATCGTTGCTTGTCGGCAGTTTGAGGATTTCTACTTGCAGCAGGGCAGGTCTAGTGATTGGGGCGAGGCGGAGGGGCGTGCTCGTGAGCGCCCGTGTAGCGGTGACATCGAGACGATCGAGTGCGCGTCTTGGTGGTCCCAATACGGGGTTGTCGCACCTGAGTTGCAGCGGTGTGCTCTTCGCGTGATGCACATGTGGTCCTGCGCCTCTCTAGTGGAGAGGAACTGGGCAATCCACGAGGGCATCCGCACGAAGAAGTGCAACAGGTTGGCCTTTGAGAAGGTCATTCAACTCGTTGAGATTACGACAAATGTGCAGTTGACAGAGTATCGACGAGCAGGATGCGGTTATGTGCTGCCATGGCAGAGGGACGAGGGCATGCTGTCAGGCAAGGCTCGAGGTGGAGCCGGTGCGCACGAGCATGCGCAAGGGGATAACGCAGGAGGAGATTGCCCAACAGGTTGCACTTATTACTCTTGATCTCATCGGGGCTTCCATACCGCCCTTTGTTGATGTTGTATTTGATAGACGTGCTTGCATTTTTCGTCTGTACCCCAGGGACGATGACTCAGATGAGGAGCGGGCACCCGAGGCAGCAGCTGACCCTGCACTCCCCATTCCTACCAAGATTAACGAGACGCACGAGGATGCCGACGACGCTGAGACTGCGTAGCATTCCGTTCGCGTTCGGCCGACGAACACGAACGCATATGACCAAACGCGAACGCGTCCGAAAA